GACTATTTGCTTTAATTTTGGAAGTGGGTGGGGTGTCAGCTTCACTCAGCTCAACCCGGTACATTTCAACCCAGCAGGACTCTCAGACAGAGGCTGGTCCACCCTAAGGACAAAACACCCATACACAAACAGAGTGGTGTAGTGTATGTGGTCCAGTGCAGCGAGGACTGTCCAGACCTCTACATTGGAGAAACTAAACAGCTTCTTAACAGACGCATGGCTCAACACAGGAGAGCCACCTCCTCAGGACAAGACTCAGCTGTTCACCTCCACCTCACCTCTGCATGTACCAATCTGCATTATGCACGCTTACAGAACACCTCAGCTTTATAACTTGAATCCCACACTCCTTGTTTCTTTGAATTGAGAAAACTCCTCGGGTGAAGCAAAACGTCTTCGATTACAAATTCAGTCCAGTTGTTTTGTCTTCACCATCGTAGTGGGCCGTTTGTTTCAGTAGGCTGTTGGTTCCAGTGGACCACTGGATCCAGCAGACTGTTGGTACGATGGACTGCTGGTTCATGTGGGCAGTTGGTTTCAGTGGATTGTTGGGTCTAACTCAGACTAAATGAGCCTGTAGTTGTGGAGGGTTAGGGTTTCACTCGGCTGGGCGTTGAGAGCAGCTGACACTGAGTGTGTTGCGTTCTCGTCTTTCTCCTAACAGCTGCTGTCAGGTCAGAGGAATGTGTTCTCTACAGATCTGATGTTTTCCAGCCTTAAAGCTTCTCTCACACTTTGAACAAATTATTTGTCTTTATCCTTTCTCCTACAGTCTGTTGTAGAAACTCCTCTGAATCTGTTTAAATCTGAGCTGCATTCACATGTTTCTACTTTTATCAGACCACTTTGAGCTGCGTATCCAAATTACTCATTAAAATTTAAATAGATTGCATTGTTTTTTGTATTATTTTCTAAAATAACAAAAATAATTTTGAAGTTTTTAATGTGTCTGCAGACATTCTGGTGGCTGCAGACTCTGAGAAGGTCCTACTGTTAGTGGTGAGAAAATCCTTGTGTTACTGGTTAGGAGGTGCTTGTGCTAGTGGTGAAAAGATCTTCATGTTTTCATTCATTCAACCTTTATTTCTACAGGTTAGTCTCATCGAGCCTCGAGGACTCATTTACAAGAGAGGCCTGTTTAAAACAAACACCTCTTATCAGGACTATGGCTGGGGGGGGGGGGGGGGGGCTCTTGGCTGTGCTACGACCTTCCCTCAAACTCCGTGCCTCCCCTGGCACAGCAACCTAGGAGATGCGAAGGCAACAACGGGCTGTGTCGCTCACCTGACGGTCGTGCTGGGAACCCCCACCCACTCCACACGCACATATAATATGTCTATTTATGTTGCTTTGCTGTGGTAATTTTTTTTATGCCTCAAACCGTGCTCTGTCAAAGACACGGTGTGAGAGATTTTTTTTTATACCTCATGTTTTCTTCCCTTTTCTTATCCAAGCAATAAAGGCAGCGCTTCTTAGAAGCTGCATCCCCTGCATACTTCCGTACATCTTTCGGACGGCTGTACGGAACGAAATTTTGCTGTACTTAACTGTGCAATGACACTAAAGTTGATTCTTATTCTGATTCTAGATGAAGTACCGTTATGACAAACACATTGCCTCTGACCTGAGAGATAGTTCGAGAACCAGCCAACAGTGCCAGTATCTGAGAGCTTGTGGTACAAGATGTCATGATCTATTGTATCAAAGGCTTTGGACAGGTCTAAGTAAAGTGCAGCTCAGTAATCCTTAGGGTCCAAAGCTTCAACAACATCATTAAAAACCTTTAGCGAAGCAGTCATTTGTTTCTTGAAGCCAGCTTGGACAGAAGATAAAATATTAAGAGCACAAATACTTCTTGTTTTGACTATTTATCAGTTTTTCTAAAACTTGAGCTAAAATACAGAGTTTGGAAATTGGTTGATATTGTTCAAAAATTGTGGGGTTATCCTTCCTTCAATAATTGTAGCACAAAAGCTGATTTCCAAGCATCTTTGAATGCTATGTATGTATTATGTTGTATAGACAGATTGAAAATGTAAGACACCAGTTATTTTCAAAATGAATGATAACCGTTATGAAAATAGTTCCAAGCAAGGTTCACATCGTCAGTTAATGATATGATGCCCGTCAAAGTGGAACAGATCTCAAAGAAAGGCTTGTTCACAAAAATGTTTCATATTCCGTTTTAGAATCGTTCTAGATTTAAAATGAGGCATTTTTGTATTTCTAACAGTAGCAACTACCCAATAGTCACAGATCATTTGTAAAAACACCAAACCCAGTGTATTTATGTGGCATGTTTGTGATGATAAGATCAAGAAGAGCTGATTTGGCAGGGCACTTTGGATTAGGCCGAGTGGGACTATCAATGATCTGACAGAGGTTTGAAGACAAACAAAAATATTTAATTTCTCAGACACAGGAGAAAACCAGTCTAAATTAAAATCACATACCAGAACATTTGATTGGGATATAAAGTAGATAGGAGCTGCATTAAAGACAACAGGCTTTCAGATGTGGCGGTAGGGGGTCTATAGCAGCCAGCAACAGATGACGACTGACCAACAGACAGTTCAATGTTTAGGACCAAGATTTCAAATTGTTTTGGTGCTGATTTTGTAAATATCAGTTGTGTTACTAAGCTAGATCTGACAAATATTGCTACACCTCCTCCTTTTCTGGGACGATCTGAACGATAAATGTTGAAACCTTAAATTGAAACATGTTTGTCCAGAACAGATTTAGTTACCCAAGACTCAGAAATAACAATAAAATCAGCACCAGTAGAAGAAGCCCAAATCCTCACCATATCTATTTTAGGAAGGACGATGCGAGCATTAATATGCACAATGTGTAAACCTGACATGGTTTTAAGATCTGATGGAGGACTACATGAAGTGAGAGGACCAGGACTGGGTTGAATACCAGTCAGCATTAAAAGCATTATAATCAAACATTTCTAAGAGTGCTTCATGGCAGTAGTATAATTGTTGGAGTTTATATTGTAGATCTTGGTCCTCATAAACATGTTGTGATGAGATGTGTTTATAAAGATGTGGTTATTTAGAACCCAGTAGCAGAGAAGTTGGCATGGACGGACAAGTTCAGATGCACCAACATGGTTTGACCATCGAGAATGTCCAGAATGGATGGTCTTCTCCAGAACCATGCACATCAGGGGGCACAAGGAGCACAGAACCGCAGGGCATTGGATGCTCACAAGCTGGTAGGATTGGTTCACCTCGGACCCGGCTTCGACCCGGTTCGTGTAGCCCAGATGGATCAGCACTGTGGTCCGGCTGCACATGATGTCAGTGCAGACAGGGCAGAGATGTCAGCACAACAGCTGCTGCAAAGCTGGACAGCAGCAGGTGGGAGAAGAGGTGGAAGAACGAGCCCATACTGCAGCCACATGATCAACAACAACAAGCCGCTGAGGAATTTACCCGTCGCCATTGTAGAGGAGGGGGGGTGGGGGGAAGTAATCCACATTAATTCAGGGACTCGAAGGAAAAAACAAAAATAAAAAAATTAATATGGCTCAAAACAGCAACAACTGCCACAGTACCTCACTCGTAGACCAAGCAATCCAAGTTGTGATGCCTCAAACCGATTCAGCTCCTGCAATTAAAGACAAATCCAGAAAAAGTCCATTGTGCGATGAAGCGCCGGGGGGGGGGGGGGGGGGGTCTGCGTTTCCACTGACTCTTAGAAGCAACAAAAGTCAGAACAAAACAAAACAAAAAATAATCCAGAGGAATGCAGATGAATATCAGGTGAAGCTCCAATGAAGACACCAATCCTCCAAAAAGCACCTCCATGCCCAATAGACTTCCTGTGCCGGCGAGATGCAATCAGCCGACCGCTGAGGCTGGAGGTAGTGAGGAGTGTTTCCAAACTTTTGAAGAGAGCTGGACCTTCAGAGTACCACCAAAGAACCACACAATGGTCCCAAAATGAGTCCAAACAGAGGAATCCGTATGAAAAAGTTCAGAAGAGCTCCAGAGAAGACACTGGACTTCCGAACAACGTCTCCCACCCAAGACGCCACCTGAGCCAGCGAGCAGCGCTCGGATTGACCGCTGACCACAGGGGCTGGAAGTAGTCCAGGTCCAAATTCCCGGTCAATTCCATACGGCACTCTGCAGCCAATGGTGAGAAGGTCCTCAGGTTAGTGGTGAGAACGTCTTCATGTTGGTGGTGATAAGGTCTTTATGTTAGTAGTGAGAATGTCCTGGTGTTAGTGGTGAGAAGTTCTTCATGATAGTGGTGATAAGATCCTCAGGTTAGTG